TTTTTAATTTTTTTTTTACTTTTTTCTAGTTTAATAATTTTTTACTTTTTATATTTTTTGATTTTTTTGTATATTTTTCAATATATATTTTTTATATTTTATAATTTTTATTTTTTAATATATACATATATGTTTAATACATTTAAAATACCATTAAAAATAGTGGTATTTTAATCCAAACTCAAGAGCACACAATAGTGGTTTTCCAGGCAGTTAAAAGTTAAAGTTAATCTTATACAGATGGAACTGGGTTTCAATATCTCCGCTGTTAGATAAGGAATTCTAATGATTATTTATGGAGACATTTGTTTTTTAACTACACTATGCTATGCTAATAACAAGGCATTATAAGATATTTTTAAAATTTTCGAAATATATTCGTGAAGTATTTTAACATTAAATTATACATTACTTTCCTCATTCCTCATAACTTCGAATGTAATATTATCACATTTTAATTATTCATATTAAATTAATTTTATTACAATTATAATAAATTATTTTACGATGAAAATTTTTTTTCTTTTAGAATATCTCGCGGAAGCTGAATACTTTTCTGTGGACCCATACATGAGACCATACGTGAGAAGATATCCGCTCGGGATCACGATGGTCGGCACTCAAATTGCCAAGATCATAGAATCTAAAAATCCAGCTTTCCCAGTTGGCAAGAGAATCGTCGGAAACTTGGGGTGGAGAACTCACACGATTGTCAATCCAAAATCCAAAGATTTAGTGTTTCAAGAACACCCGTACCTTTTACCAGACATAGGTGATTTGCCGTCGTCACTTTGTCTTGGCATTCTAGGAATGCCGGGGTAAGAATTTTTATATGCTTATTCGATCGCCTTGCTAATGTATTTATCATCTCGCAAATAAAAGACGTAAAATTTTATAGATGCTACGAGACAAAATATTTTTAAAAAAGTTATAAAATATTTTTTATGTGCTGTAAGGCTGACGGCATTTTTACTTTGAGCATTATGTAAACTACGAGCCGGTACTAGCAATAAATAGAAATGCCTTAAATAGAAATGCCTAAGATAAATATTTATTTTTTTCTTGAGACATAAATATTTATTTTTGATGTTAATAACAGGAAAAAGTATATAGTAATTTAAATTATTTACACGAAATTCTCTCTCTCTCTCTCTCTCTCTCTCTCTCTCTCTCTCTCTCTCTCTCTCTCTCTCTCTCTCTCTGTCTTTCCCTCCTTCTTTCTTTTTCTTTTTTCTTTCTTGTTAACAGTAACACAGCATATTTCGGTTTGCTGGAAATATGCAAACCGAAGTCTGGCGAAACAATCGTCATCAGTGGAGCCGCAGGTGCGGTCGGCTCACACGTGGGCCAGATCGCTAAAATTTTGGGCTTAAATGTTATCGGTATATGCGGCTCCGACGAGAAGTGCAAGTGGCTTACTGAGGAAATGGGTTTCGATTCCGCCATTAATTACAAGACCACATCAGTCGCAGCCAGATTACGCGAAGTTGCTCCGCAAGACGTGGATTGTTACTTTGACAATGTATGTATTAATAATTGTGCCTTTTATATAATTAATTAAACGCAAATTTTTCAATATGATCAAAGATGACTTTCATGTACAGTAATTTTTAAACTTTTTATTACATCAAATTCTGTTAATATTATAGCTATCAATGATTAATTTCTATTACTTGTATATCTGTATATTTCACTATAATTAGTTTACAATTATATATAAAATTATTCAAATTAATAACGGGATGTTTTTTTAAGATTTTCCGATTTTTTTTATAATACATAAATAATTAAAATGTAAATAATTAAAACGCTCATTCATTTTGATATGAATTCTATAAGATATTGGCTGCGTTCATCAGAGAAAGCAGCTTTACAATTGTTGTAAAATTCTTCAATATCATTGGTTTGTACATTTAGATCTATAAGAAATCTAAAGCAAGCGCCAATCGTATTGAAGAATTTTGCAACAGTTGCAAAGCTGCTTTCTCTGCTGAATGCAGTCATAATATATTTTTTTTTTAATAATTCAATACACGTATAGATCATTGTTTTCAAATGACATCTTTTATCTCTTTCAATAACTTTTGATGGAATTTTTTTTTTCAAAAACATCAACAATGATCAGTGTTGCTGTAACTTTTCTTTATGTTATATCAAATTCTGTTAACATTATAGAATTACTGACAACTAATTTCTAGATACTTATTAAATATATGCATTTAAATATATTAAAAAATGCATTTAAATATATTAAATATATATATAAGTACATATGAAGCTTTAAAAACGTCGATAACGTCTCAGCTTAAATCGCAGCATTTTTGTCTATGACCAGTCACTACCATAACATCATTATGATATTGTGACAAAGTTGTAGCAGGAAAAATGGGACAACAATTATGGACTTTGAAGACAATGTCGCAGTCATTTGGCTGCGCAATTATTTTGCTGCGGAAAGGTTGTCATTGGTTGTCATATTAATTTTATAGGTTGGCGGGAATATCTCTAGCGCAGTCATATACCAGATGAAGCCATTTGGCCGAGTAACTGTGTGCGGTAGCATCTCAAGCTATAACGCGGACAATTCATCTTTGCCAAAGTGTACGATCCTGCAACCCATTTTATCGAAACATGAATTGAGAATGGAGGGTTTCTTCGTTACACACTGGATGAATCGATGGAATGAAAGCATTATGCAGAATCTGCAATGGCTACGCGAGGGCAAGCTTCGTTATCGTGAGACCGTGACTAAAGGTTTCGAGAACATGTTTGAAGCGTTTATCGGTATGCTGCGCGGCAAGAACATCGGCAAAGCGATCGTCCAGGCGTAGACATCAAACATTTATCGCGAACCGAACCTATTTCTCATAATATTAATGCCTTTGAATTCTATAACTGCATATTATGTACAATGTTTTTTTATACTTTTGAGATATTGAGAAAGCATTGAATTTTAATTTCCAAACGTTCTTTACATTTTTTTATATTAATCAAGCGTTTTATATAAATATTTAAAAGATCGAAACTATTAGGTTTTTATACATTGGGTTCGTTCGGTTTTTTTTAGTTCAAAATTGTATATAATTTTGTAATAATTTTATAATTTAATAATTTTACTAAGAATAGACAAAATTTAAATAAAAAAAAGATTCTAAAGCTTGAAATTTCTATTTTCGAAAGGTTTATTACTATATTTCTTTTTTAGTTTCTGTAAATTTGATAATTTCTATATAAAAACTATGAGTCGAAGAAGATGAGAAATTTTCTTCTTACTTTATGGGTCTGTCATGTGTTAAAAAAAATTTGTAAAAATTTTCGACGATCTATGTCGTGAAAGCATATTTCATCGATGGTAATCTGAAGACACGATAATGTCTTTGCGCAAAAACAAACAAAGTATGACGCGGACACTGCCATGCTTTTTTACTTTATTGGGAGCCGACAAATTGCGGCAGGTTTGGAGAGATGGTTCTCAACAATGGCTGAACTGATCATGTTCTATATACGCTCAATCGATAACTATCACTCGGATTGTATTAGATGTACAACTTTGCTTCCGCCGTTTTCCTATAGATGGCTTTAGCGGTAAGTGGTGGTCGAAATAGATCATAGACTTCATACAATAAACTTGGGCAACATAACCCCATAGAAATATTAGTCGATTTGTGTCTACATCATAAAGTTATTCTCGATTGAAAATGTCAGTTTACGAGCCAAATTCTCGTCATTTGCGGGAGATTTTAATTTTTTGCTTCAATATGAAGAAATCTGCGACTGAGGCTCATCGAATGTTCTCAAATACATATGGTGAGGCCGCTATTAGTGAAAGAACGTGTCGTGAATGGTTTCAACGCTTCAAGAACGGTGATTTTAACGTCGAAGACCGGCATAATGGTGGAAGAGAGAAGGTTTTCGAAGATCCAGAATTGGAGGCATTACTTGAGCAAGACTCGTGTCAAAATCAAGAAGAATTAGCACGATCATTGGGAGTGACTCAACAAGCCATTTCAAAACGCCTCAAAGCCATGGGAATGATTCAGAAGCAAGGAAATTGGGTGCCGTACGAATTGAAGCCGAGAGATGTTGAACGG